CAGGGTTAAGAAGTCAGCTAATTTAACTTTTCTATCTGACAAATACGGTGAACGTTTAGCGGTTTCTTAGACCTGAGTGTTTGATCTGGCTAAGTCATGAAAGGAGTGTACAATTGTAGAAAGTGTACATGAGTAGATTTTTAATGAACCAGTTTCTTTTCTTGTGGTTTTCGCACAAGACTAAGAGTATAAGCCATTGGTGAGTTGCCCAGTCCTCTGTTTCTAATCTAATTAAATTAACTTTTCTAGAAAGAATCTGGTTCTAAAAAAAAGATTTGAATCGACAAGGGATAACTACCAAATTGTAACGCTATTATATGCACAAGCTGAGCAAATTGAGTAAAAAGTTCTTCAAGGTTAAATGCGTTTACTTTTAGCCCGAATTTTAACCGTCTCCTCGAGTAGCAATCGCGAGGAGACAACTGCAGAAAATTCAGGCAAGTTTGCCTTAATTTACAAAGCTCATAAATTCAGAGCTACAACAAAGTAGTTTAATCTTTTGCAATAGCTTTTATTATTGTTGTCATCATCTTTCATTGGGAGGTGAATAACATTCAGCTCGCTTTATAACATTTGGCAAAAAAATGAAGAAAGAAACCTTTTCCAGTTAACTTAGGAATATAACCATAGAAAGGTACAGTCTAAATAGTAGGTATTAGAAATGTAGTGTACTTTGAAATTTTTAGGTTTAGTATTTTGCTAATTATAACAAAGGAAGGGGTTAAAACGCTAAAGCTAAAGCGGGGAAAGCGGCCAATGCATGGTTATAGATGCTATGAATAGATGCTGTCCAGATGCTCTGGATACTTTCAAAGCAGACTGTTCTTTGTTTTCTTTTTTGGTACCAGTTTGTTCTTAAAGGAGCTGTGTGACGAAATTTATCATTAATCAAAATAAAAACAGGGGCACCCAACGAGAATATAGTTCAAAACGACATAAACATAGCATTGTTGAACGTACTTTAGTATTTAAACGGTAGATAAAGGCTTATTTTTATCCCCTAAAAACTTTTCATCTGTTCGGATTTCCTAGCTGAAAGTATAGTGATCCGAAAATTATAGGAATCAAAATTTACCTTTTCGAAAATTTCAGCCAGAAAAAAGGCTCCCGAAAATTCTAGGTGACTTTTTTAGGGTAAAAATCCGTTAAAAATGGGCAATTATACCACTTTTTTGATGTTCGAAAATCCTAGGAGAGGTAAGCAAGCAAGAAATTTTACAGAAAATGATCCGAAAATTCTAGATCTCAAATCGTCTTCCGAACAGATAATTTTCCGAAAATTGTCGCTGGGTGCCCCTGTAAAAACAGTGGCAACGGCCACCAAATTGAGGGAAACAATAATTAGCAACCGCTCAACACGCTAAAAAAAGGAATTAATAGCACAGAAAACACAAAAGGAGGCACAGATGGACAAACTATACTCAGTATTGAGAAAATCTCGTATCCCTAGTCGTCCTCGTCTCAGAATCTAAAGCTCTCTATTGTGTTACCTCAGGAACTTTTTAAAGAAAAGTAGCACTATTTGCAGTCTAACCAAAGCAAACAAACTTTGAAATGTAATTGAAAATAATGGTTGTTTTCTTCTGAATTTTATCACTTACTCTTTATTCACTGTCTATAAATTCTAAAAAGGGGCCGACCATTTAAAACGGAATCCACCAGGAAATTGAGTAATTTTAATTTTCGGTGGACAAAAACAATTAACCTTGTACGAGAATAATTTAAAGAATATTGCATTCTTTTTTACAATTTTTAGGGCTACAGATATAATTAGTCATCTGTAATAACACCAAAGAACATTTCTTATGAGTACCCGAGAAAATGAATGTCAAATTTTACAAAATTACATCTTACACATGAAAGTTTCAGAATTTTACCTGTGTTTTCACAATTCTTTTAAGCCATTCCCTAATAGACCTCTTTCATAATGGCGGCCTACTGATGTATTCTTTTATATGTTATGATAATTAGCCTTTAGCATGTGTAAAATACAAAAAAATCCTTACTTTCAAACGAGGCCAGAAAGGCTAATTATGATACATATAAAAGACGATAGCCAAGAAGATATTAAGGTAATAGGCCGCCATATTGAAATAGGTCTATGGAAATCATTTCTCAAACAGGTCGGAGGTACATACGCGCCGATGAAACACAAATTTGACTTGAACATTGAAGTGGACTTCATGATCATGTACCACTTTTCCGTACTTTCCGCCAAAAGAGTTTCCAGTAGATCCTTGGAAATTTCACGGAAATTTTCCTCACACCGGAATAAGCCTAACAACAATCCGGGAAAATGAGAGCTCTAAAAATAACTCAAACGGCCAGGGGAAAGTGTCAAAGAAATCGCCCCACGTACTTGTAAGGTAATCCACGATAGCCTTGGATTCTGTATTTCAGTCTGTGGATTCCTATTCCCCGGTACTGGCTTAGCCTTTCTTGTCAGTGGAGCTTGGATTCCCGATTCGATTTCGATTCTTTGCCAGTAGAACTTCTTGGATCCCGGATTGAACCAAATAAAAAATTCCCCCCGTTCCGGAATATGGATTCCCTTTGGCGAAAAGAGAAAAAGAAAGTCTCATCCTACCTGCGATAAGCGTTGGACCAACAAACCATCCACCCACAGGAATAGCACACGCAGATGTACCGGCGATCGTTAGCTTGCTGTGTACCGTACAGATGCGTCGACAAACAGCGGTGGATTCTCATCTTGGAAGAATTCTGGTGTTCCTTTCTGCATGCAGGCGCTTTGTTGCTCTTAAGACACGGCAGCTGCAGCAGTTCTCAAAGAAGTTAAAACATTTATGTTTGGCGCTAGCATCTCCCCAATCGTTAGACTCCACTGCGCACCTCTTGAAAATCATAATGTAGCCGGGTTGTTCCGCCTCTGCGTGGCCACAATGCTCGCACTTCCGGAGTTCAAGAGCCTCCTCAATGGCTGCATCTACAATATCTAAACGCTAGTGATAAGGCCCAGACCCGCTAGAGCCCCACCGATACACTTGCTGTAATTCAAACAAAGAATGGGTTACCTGTGCCAAACCCGAGAAGACCCTGGGTACTAGATGGAGAAACGTATCGTACTTGAGAGGCAAACTGGAAGGTTGACGAGACTGCAAACTTCGTGTATCCTTGTAATCAGAAAGGTGCAATCACTGCAATGGCTACTCTTGATGATAACTGGCAGACAAAACGTTCAACTATCAGCGAGAGAGCCAAATTTATTTTCAATAACGAATTATTAAGTGATGTGAAGTTCGTAGTTCCCGCGTCGCATAACGAAAGTGAAAGGCGGGAGAGTCAGAAGTGCATTCCAGCTCACAAGTTTATACTTGCAATCAGCAGTCCTGTTTTCTATGCCATGTTCTATGGTGAAATGGCAGAGACGTCAGGCACTATTCAACTGCCCGACTGTGATTATGAGAGTCTCTTAGAGTTGTTTCGTTTTCTGTACAGCGATGAAGTGAACTTGAGCGGAAGTAATGTCATGCAAGTTCTCTACTTAGCAAAAAAATACCTGGTACCTTCACTCGCTGATAACTGCACTGAATATCTTCAGGAACATCTAGCGGCGTCGAATGTGTTCTCTGTTCTACCGCAAGCTCAGAAATTTGAGGATAAAGATCTGGAAGAACGGTGCTGGGAAGTAATTGAGGCGCAAACCGAGAATGCTCTGACGTCGGAAGAATTTGTCACGCTTGAGAAATCTGTAGTTGAGTCTGTGGTGAAAAGGGAGAGATTGAATGTAAAGGAAGTGGATTTATTTAAAGCTGTTGATCGCTGGGTCACTAAAGAAGTGGAAAGGCAAAGACTAACCCCTGATGGCAAGGTCAAAAGAAGGATTCTTGGAGAGGAAATTGTGAAAGCAATAAGGTTTCCAGTGATGTCTCCGAAGGAGTTTGCTTCGGTTTTGGATTGTGATATTCTGACTAAAAAACAGATTGTTTTTATGATGAAACACTACGGTGGTGGTGGTTTAGAGTCTTCTTTACCATTTATGCATTCCCCCAGACAGCCTGGCCTTTTTCATCGAATTTACAGATTTACAGAAGTAAGTCCGCCCGAAATGCCTAATGGTTCCTGGCACTACACTAGTGGTAATGCTGATGCCCTCAATCTAACTGTCAGCAAAGCCATTACGTTACATGGAGTGCAGCATTTTGGTAGTGAAAGTGGCGAATACACAGTTTCATTAGAAGTGAAAGATGTGGCAAATAGCGGTTTTTCTCTGAAAAAACTGACGGGCATGTATTCCTCCGAGAAAAATGAGACAAATGGTTACTATGGATTTGATGTCATGTTTGATCACCCTGTTTCTCTTGAGCAGGGTAAAACGTATGAGACTGTATCTCTTATCAAAGGCCCATCATCGTGGCGCGTGACTAATGGAAAAGAATCTGACGAGGTTCAAGGAATCCAGTTTTCATTTATCTCTTCAGCTTCTTCTAAGAATGGAACTAATGTCAAAACTGGCCAGTTTCCTGCATTTATTTTCAGCACAATGTAGTTTAAGTCTTAAATAATGATATTGCATTTGTTGATCATCGTAAGTGGTAGACTGCAAAATGCTTTATTTAGGAAAATGCCTAATCAAACAGGCCAGAGTCTCTTAAGGAGATAACTGTTTTCTCTACCAATGCCTCATTAATTTCCAGACTACGACCTGTCAGGACCTGTGGTTAGGCTGAAGGCTAGCGATGACTGGAATAATTTGCCGAGCCAAACGAAAATCACGGGACGAAATAACGGATTTACCGAGCGTCAAAGGCGCAGTCCAACGGGCGATAAAGACGACTGTTGCACGCCATTGACGCGCGACAAAAAAGTGTCTTTGATGACGTCTTCAGGCGAGTCTTCCGGCGATGAAGGCCGTTTTTTTTACGCCTTTAACCTTTACCTTTGGCGCAAGTGAAAGATGTTATTTGATTAGCCTTTGTACCCCTATCAAAGGTGTCGTCTGAGATTCGAGTCTAAGGTTTCAAAAAGGTGCGGTAAAGTAATGTCTGAGATTGAAGTCAAAGGCTTGCTAAAAGTGTCGTCAAATGGCTAAGTGCAAATCTAATCTAAGATCAAATCTTGTCATCGTGCATCTTGCAGCCGATAATCGCGCATCGAGCCAAAATCCATTGAAGGTGCATAGATTGTAGCTTTATCTTGCATTTTTCGAGCCTTGACGTATCGTTGCCTTAATTGAGCGTCAAGTCGTACCTTTGTATGTTGAACTTATTGATTATCGTGCTTTCATGGAGCTTTTATCATGCGCAAAAAGCTAGCGCAGCAAAACGTTGAGCAAATCTCCCCTATTGCAAGTCAAAAATGCACTGGGAAAACATACAAATATAAAAATTACGTAGAAGTCCTTTGAGAAAATACTCAGTTGTCGCTTTGAGGGAAAGTGAAAAGATCAAGCGACAAACTTCATGAAACTTGCGTTGGAGGACTTCATCCTTGCTTTCTTCGAGACGGAGATCTCAGTAGAATAACCGAGTGAGCGCTTTAAGCCCGGTACATTTTGTACATTGTAGTAGAGAAAATTATGTTTTAAGAGGAAAAATGTATCAATTACATTAAGTTAGTGACTTTTCAGTCGAGTTGATGTTAAATTCAAGCTAATAAAATTAAATAGATGTAGCCAGGGTTCACGATAATATTTATAGTTCGCTCCAACAAAATATAAAATCATGTAATGCTAAGCGGCGAAGGCAACGAGAAAAACAACAATGGGTCAAATTAGCAAAAAAGCAACTTAACACGTGGAGCACACTTTTTTTGTACATTTATTTGCCCTTGTCTTGCACGGCTACAACGTGAAACTTTCAGAAACTTCCTAGTTACACGTTTTATTGAGGAAATGTCGAACGTGTTCTACTGCCGCTCATTTTCACCTTGATGGCCGCTAGCATTTCTCATTTTCTCACCACCGCTTCAAATATTCTTGTTGTTCTTCCAACAGAAAATGTCTCCTTTGTTATTTTTCTCTCGCTCTAGCTCACTGCCGCTCTTTTTCTAGTTGAGCTTCGCTGGCCTGTCGCCCACAAATTTGTGGACATCACAATTAATCTAAGCTTAATACCTTAGACAACAGGGATACAGAAGCAATTTCCGGTTTCCGTTTTCGTCTTTATTGACTCTTTTATAGTTGTCTCTGCTTCACAAGACGCGGGTGGCTAAGCGATTTCCCGCCAAAATAATCTCGAGTTGCATTTGCTTTGCCAATTGCCATACCTGTTCACTGAGTTTTTTTACGTTGGTATACCCGTGGTGTGGACGGACGGGCGTACGGTCACGTGATTACCAAAATTTCTCGGATGGGTACCTTACCCTATTTTCTTAGGTATTGGGCTACGCTCGCGCGCGCTCCGCGCGAGCGTGGAGCTCCGCTCTATCTTAGGAAACTCGCTCAGATTCAAGACAGCTTTGTAGTGTATACGTAGCTTTGGTCTTATTTCAGTTGAGTGTACGGACAAATGACACACGAATTGTAGTGCGAATTTCATTTGATGAGTACAGAAACATTTGGGTTTTCAAAAATAAATTTTTCAAAAAATGACTTCTCTGTCTACAGTAGTTCAAAGCACGATCGTAAGACACAGAGCATCTAAATTGCGCACGCATTGCTTCATCGCCGGCAATTTTGACTTTCAGCTCCATTTCTTTGGACATTCTTCGATATGAAGCTAGTTAATTTCTTTTGAGAATTATAGTGTTACTTGTTATTGTAAAATATATACAGTCAATTTTTCCTTGTTAATTCTACTTTAACTCTGGTGCATAAATTGTCACACAGTTATCGTATATTTGCGTCACTAAGTCGTTAAGTCCCTGAGTTTGTGTTTATGGTTGCAGCTATAGGTTTCCCTCAAAGTATTTACCCTATTATTAAGAACAAGTAGAAAGAAGCCATTTAGAATAACAAAAAGAAAAAAAAAAACGTTTTGCAGTCTACCTAAGACGGAGAACGGCTGATTCAGCGAAAAGGCAAATTTTTGAACGGTATGATTTGTTTGAACAGCATACAGCAACTCGTTATATAGTACCGATGAACTGATCATGACTCAACCGAAGGCAAATGGATATCACAGCAGATCAGTGCAGATCATATCAGTTAACACAAAGCATTTTTTGCGCAAGCCATGGAGTTGGGCCACTGCGAAGTTACAATCATTTACGGGTGCGTTTTATCCTAAAGGTGTTATCGGGCCTCTCTCTTCACGTTCAAATGGCACACATTCATAGTGCTAAAAATCGTGTCGGCTTCATCGCCTTGTTCGTTTTATGCGTGAACACTTTTTTCCTTAAAAATCTCGTCAAAATGCCATTCGATTTTAAAAATAAATCACTTATCCTGAAGTTCTTAGAACGATGAGTTTTTGAGAATTTTAAGTGATTATTAGAACATTTGTAATCAATGAAATGTTGAAGGGCAAATGTTAAAAGTTATGGAAAAATGAGAAAATATTGGGTTTAAGGGTAGTTAAGAATTAAAATTTGAAGTGAGTAATTAATAGACAAAGACCACACAGTCCGGCACTACAACAAGGTGGCCCTGAGCCAATTAGCGGACTAACAGGTTTAGGTGTATACCCTCCTCTATTCAAGGTCATGTAATATTCATTATCCCGTACGATGACGTATTAGGCAGTATAATTTATAAACCTGAATAACTATGCAAAGTTGTCAGTACGAAAAAAGTCTCAGTGAAAAAGGTTAGCCTTCCCTCCCTCCCTTTCTCGGACATAATTAATTAGAACTCGGAGTCCTATGTCGTGTTCCTGGACAGGGATCTCGTCCCATACCTTAATGCTAATTAGTCAGAGAAAGGGATAATGAAATATTTCAGACCAAAATCTGTAATTTTCCCTACCCTATTTCAGACCTGACAAGCTGTTACGGCAAGTACACGGTTGGCATAAACATTAAAAGGGAAATGGTCTTATCGCCTAATGATGAAGAAGTAACTTCTTGTAAAAAAACATACCCAATTCAAGACTAGGGTGCACAAACCATACCCTATTTTAGACCAAAATGGTCAAAATTGATACAGACCAAAACGGCTGAAAAACCATACCCTTTGGCGCAGCACATACCTATACAGCCTATATAAGGGAGTACCCCCCCCCCCCACCCCGGGGATAAGATCTTATGTTTGTTATATTTGTCCACCACTCCACCAAAGCTATCTATGACGTTAGTATGAACTTATTCTGTTGAGCCCCTTCCGTTGACATTTTTAACATTTTGCCCGGCTTTCTCTGACAACCACTCTTAAGAACTAGTGGGACGGGAACGCGTGTCGAACCCCTAAGAACGTCTTCGTTGGAGGCTAACCATCAGAGGGCTTCTATGAAAAACTTTCAGTGACAACATGGAACTACAAATTAATATCGTAACTTGCACGAATCTAATCTTCGACTTTCAAAAAGAAGATGAGAAAATGTTTCTGGACCTCTGCTTCCTGTAACAGACCTCCTGTTGCTTGATTCTTGTAAACGACCTCCTTCCACCATAAGCGACCACTATATTAAAATCTTCCCGTACAGGGCAGTCGCTTATGTAAGGTTGTTTTAAAATCAACAAAAAAACCATTTGAAGACTAAAAATAGCCCTTCCTTCTGATCTATACAGGAGCACTGGCAGCTGTAGATGGTGCATTTGCACTAGCAGATGGAATCATGTGTATCATTAATGCTGCCACTGCAGAGATCCCTCAAGACAGATGCACTACTTGTAACCGAGTGTTGAGCTCTCCTGGATGTAGAGCAATGTGCATGGCTACTGGAGGCTGTGGAGGTCGATGTATAGACAACAACTGAAAGATGGCAACAGATGATGGAAAATGTTGTTATTATATTTATTTGTGACAAGGCTTTTGCAATACTAATAGGATAAGGAGGTGGGTGGAAGACAGGGGGCTGGGAACTCAGAAGAAAAGGAGAGGGGTGGGGGTGAAAAGAGCAGCAGGTGGGAGTTCTTAAAGGCAGGGAACTAGGGAAGCAGGAGAAACAGAGGGAATCAATTAATATTTAAATATAAAACAAGGTACAGGAGGCAGAACTTTGGAAACTCCTGTCTCCCCACTGCCGCGAAAGGGGGACCTGAATGGGTTGTTGACCGTTAAGTGTGTTTGGCCCATATTTTCTAAATATGTAAATCCTTAAAACAGTTAAGGAATTAAGTAAGAAAATTTTTTCCATTTGTTACAAAAACTTTCAGTATTATTTTTTTCTGGTTTAGCAGTCAAATCTATGTTTATAGGTATAGAGTGCAATCAACTTATTTTTACAGGACACAAAACCTGAAGGGGTCTATTTCTTCAGTTAGCCTGCACAGCAAGCATTTCCGTGCAGTTTCGGAGCAAAGAACAAGAAACGAGAGTCAAACACAAGGCAAAAAATAGGGTTTGCCACTGTTCCATTTCTTGCAGGGTCAAATCTGAAAATCCTGTCCCTCGGTAATTCTTTGCTCTGAAACCAAACGGAAACGCTTGCTATGGAGGCTAAGTAACAATCGACTGCCAGAATTATAGCTGGTTTATATCTATGACTTATATAACTGACCACCACCAGGGGACCAGGGGACCCCGTGTGTATCCAGCTCATGAAATAAGGTGTGGTTGGACGATGGTGGTGGCTTTAATTTTGAAGTTGCTCAAACTTCAAATGCTGCTGAAAAGTTGCCGTGCACATTTTATGTACATGCGCACCTTATCTTTTTTATCCGTTACTAATCATAGGTGTAATAAAGATGTTATTTTAAACACGAAATTACTGGTTTGTCTGGTCTGGCCCTATTTGTTACTCTTTGCGCGAAAAAGACTGTAATTCAAACAAAGAATGGGTTACTTGTGCCAAAACCGAGAAGAACATGGGTACTAGATTGAGAAACGTAGCCGTACTTGAGAGGACGGGAAAGTTGACGACAGTGCAAGCTACGTTTAAAAGCTACGTATACCTTGTAATCAATCACTGCGATGGCTACTCTTGATGATAACTGGCAGACAAAACGCTCAACTATCACCGAAAGAACCAAATTTATTTTCAATAACGAGTTATTAAGCGATGTGAAGTTCGTAGTTCCTGCTTCGCATAACGAAAGTGAAAACCGGAAGAGTCAGAAGTGCATTCCAGCTCACAAGTTTATTCTTGCAATCAGCAGTCCTGTTTTCTATGTCATGTTCTATGGTGAAATGGCGGAGACTGCAGACACTATTCAGCTTCCTGACTGTGATTATGAGAGTCTCTTAGAGTTGTTTCGTTTTCTGTACAGCGATGAAGTGAACTTGAGCGGAAGTAATGTCATGCAAGTTCTCTACTTAGCGAAGAAATACCTGGTACCTTCACTCGCTGATAAGTGCACTAAATATCTTCAGGAAAATCTAGAGGCGTCGAATGTGTTCTCCGTCCTGCCGCAAGCTCAGAAATTTGAGGATAAAGACTTGGAAGAACGGTGCTGGGAAGTTATAGAGACGCAAACCGAGAATGCTTTGACGTCGGAAGAATTTGTAACGCTTGAGAGATCTGTTGTTGAATCTGTCGTGAAAAGGGAGAGATTGAATGTAAAGGAAGTGGATTTATTCAAGGCTGTTGATCGCTGGGCCACCAAAGAAGTGGAAAGGCAAGGGCTGACCCCTGATAGCGTGGTGAAAAGAAGGATTCTTGGCGAGCAAACTGTGAAAGCAATAAGGTTTCCAGTGATGTCCCAAAAGCAGTTTGCTTCAGTTTTGGACTGTGACATTCTGACTAAGGAGGAGATTGTTCTAATGATGAAACACTACAGTGGTTTCGGTTTAGAGTCTTCTTTACCATTCATGAATGCCATTAGAGCTGGTCTTTTGCATCGTGTTTACAGATTTGAAAAGCCTGGCGATACCTCGGATTATTCGGCCTGGTGCTACTCTGGTGAACCTGATGCCATTAATCTAACTGTCAGTAGACCTGTCATGTTACGTGGAGTGCAGCATTTTGGTAGTGAAGGTGGCAAATACACAGTTTCATTAGAAGTCAAGACGAACGATAAGGCAATTGGTGGTTCTCTGGTAAAACAAACAGGCATGTATTCCTCCGAGAAAGATGAGACAAATGGTTACTATGGATTTGATGTCATGTTTGATCACTCAGTTTCCCTTGAAAGGGGCAAAACATATGAGATTGTATCACTTATCGAGGGCCCGTCATCGTGGCGCGTGATACGCGGAAAATGCACGGATGAAGTTGAAGGAATCCAGTTTTCATTTAGCAAATCATCTGCTTCTAGTAATGGAACTCATGAAGGCAGTGGTCAGTTCCCTGCATTTATTTTCAGCACAAAGTAGTTTAATTTATTCTTAACTGACGATACTGATAACTGTGGTAGTCTGAAGATTCTTTTTTATTCTGGGAATAAACTAATTAATTAATCTAGAGTCTTTTTAGGAGTAACGAATCATATTCCCTACCACCTGTTGTTAGGGTTAGGCTGAATATTGTTGACACACTGTTAGCTGCACTGGAATGATGAATGAGTTTGAAAAGGAAAACGAATATATAGCTAGTTCGCACGTTATATATTAGTTCTTGGCTATCAAGTGACTACGGAATTATTCTACGTTTGATTACCACACATCCAAGTTAAAGTAGCGAAGAAATCGGAAATTAATCATGCCCAGAAAAACTGAATAGAGAAATTTAATGGCACTTACTCCGTTACTCAATTTTAACTCCTTGGTTTTACAAAGATAAGCGCAGTTTTTTTATTCAGTAAGTTGAAGTTTATTGACAAAGTGAGATAAAATGCGGAAACCGATTTAAGTCATTGTCATTTGCACGCATTGGAATTTTTCAGTGACAGAAACTTCATATAAGTAACTACAAACTCATGATTGAAACAAGTCAGGAAGATATCATCAAACTCCCTACAACAATAGATTCTGCCGTGTTTGTCAGGCTCTGATATAACTGAAGACAAAGTTCATTTTCTCTTGCACTGTCCAAAGTATTCAATCACAAGGAAAAAATTCTATAATCAAATCCAACCTAACTTTGTCAAATTGAATCAGCTATCTTGCACAGAACTAATAATTAAACTGATGAATTCACAGAATTTTTCTGTAGATTCACATTTGTTAAAATTTATCTCATTATGTAACTATTTATGTAATAATTTGTTATCAAATCATACTGATGACACTTGATTGACCATTGTAATCATTGTTTTTTTTAATTGGTTTATTAATAGTATTAATTGTAACTTTATTTTAAAGCTTTTGCAATACTATAACTTCATCTAGTCATGCAAATAAAGCTTATGTTGTTGTTGATGTGAGTTATTAGACTTTGAGAGGGAGAGATTTTATGGAAGGAGGTAATTTGTCATTGGCCGGACGGTGTCCCGTAATTCGCCATGCTGACCATGTATACCCCTGGCGTTAAAATAGCATTTATGGCATTTACGGTATATATTATCAATTAAAGTTTTTCTTTACCTCACTTTGCAACTGCCTAGACATAAAATATTGAGTCCAAAAACCGTCACTTATAACACACAGTCACCAGGCTCGTTGTCACGCATTTTTACCCGGAGGTGCGATTTAACGATGAGACGGAACAAACGAGGCCGAAGGCCGAAGTCTCTAGAAAGGCGAGAGGGGGAATTATATATGTTGTCCCGAGACTTCACCTGGAGCGTTTCGATGATAAGAATTGAAAACAGGCAGCCAAAAGCGAAACGTGGATATTTCGCAAAATTTTTGAACTTCAAAGTTGCTTTTTATACCAAAGAGACTACTTATGTACGTATTTTTTTTTAATTTGAGCATGACAATCGCAATGACACTATTCAAAAAGAAGAAATAGAAAAAAAAATTGTGAATCTGATCATTCACTAGGTTTGCTGCTGCTATGATCTTTCCGCGCAGTAGTAGTGTGCCAAGTTGGGGGCTTCTCAGCAAACGTATCAACGACTTCTTCCAGATCAATATCTGTTGGGTGGTACATGCGAGTTGTGTTTCTCTAGAGAAATACGACTTGCATGAAACTAGAGAAATCTGATGTTATGTGAGCAAGCTGATGGGCCACGCCCGCTATTAACGCCCGCTATGGCGTCTGCTTCCCGCCCCCAATGCCCGCCGCGGCCATAGCTTCCCCGCAGGACGACCTTTGGGGTTCGTTTGTCACGCATTCATTTCTGCGAACGCCAAAGGACGTCTGCGGGGAGGCTAGCCGCGGCCACATACTGCTTTTCCATTTTCCTCACCTCCGTCTAAAAATGTGTGCGACAAGGTGCATAGCATTTTGGCACGTTCCTCTCGATTGTGCTCGTTCGAGTTTTGATGAGAGTTAGTTTAATTGATATACATTTATTAGCCAAAAAGCATTTTTAAAGGTGGCAGAGTTCCAGTAATCTCCAATTTTTAGTTTTACCTTCAAAATTTTTAAATGAAGAACGGCTAGGTTCTGATAATTTTCTGCAGCCGGAAAATATTCATTGATGGCACTTTCAGTTTCTTTTTTAGACGTAGACAAAATCTTGCGGCGTCTTCGATCTCTTCTTGTCTCTTCAGCCCATTTTCTCGGGAACTATGTTAAAAACTGTTCAACTGTCGCAAAATTGAAAACGATTCTGCAATTACTTTTTGCAAGCAGATTATCGCTAATTCACTTTTTTTACATCGTTGGTCAACAAAAAAGTGGACCTCCGGAGCCTGTGGGCGGGGGGTGCGTGCCCACCCGTCGCCGACCCCCCTCCTCCCTTCGGGCCTGTCAGTCACTAGCCATTGAAAACTTTAAAAGGAATCTTTACCGATATTTTCATGAGACAAAAAACGGCCCTGAGGAAGACTATTGGACCTGTTTAGAATGTTAGCCTCGTTAAAGTTGTCGTTTACCATTGGACCTATTGGTATTAATTAGAATGCTAGCCTCGCTTAAGCTGTGGTTTTCTTTAGGTGCCAGTCGTGTACTAGATTTGGCCGCATCTGAAAACTTTCAAACCGTGACTCATACCTCGTCTCGGCGTGTTGGTTGTGCCATAAATTTCAACAACTTAATGTAAGCCTGCAATCGGTTTAACGAATCTCCAAGCAAGAGGAATTTTTATGTTAGTGAGTAGACTACACTGAGGCTACACTGAACAGAATTTCGTACCGACACCTATCCCGATCTTTGAATCTCCATTTTAGAGATCGGTGTGGCTCATCAGCCTTGCTCCGTTACAGAAATTGCGCCGAAATCACTGTTCCCAAGTGTCAACAGAAGTCCTATCCGGTATGGTTTTTGTGCTGGCGCAAAAGGATGTAGTTATGAACTTAGCTAAGTCAACTTTGCCGGCTGAGACTAGAGATCTTCGGAATATTTGCGCGAACCTCACGGATGGCCAGACACATTTTGATTCAAGCGACTAGCTGCAGGTTGTACCGGCGGCTTAACTCTCAGAATTTATATATTCAGAAAAGTTTTGTACTGCTACGTCTTTGGATGTCTGGGAGACACTGCCGTTTCATTTAAATTTTCTTGATCGATATATAACAAGTAAAAACAAAGCCAGCTGTGACCTTTAGCAATTTTTATCTAACCCCCTCTGATTACTGCAGTGGATTGGTCTGCCGTAAACTACGAGCAATTCTTTTATTTTCTTCACCATTAGACTGGGTGGCAAGCGTAAAAGGTAACCAGAATTTATTATCTTAATTCTTGTCAGGTTGCTGCCCTCGTTTCTCACGTGATACGCAAAAATAAGGGAATTTTAGGATCCTAGATTGTGTTTTCTTTTATGGGTATGCGCCTGAACAGCTTTGGCGTGACTTAATAGCCTCAACATTAGTCTGGACTTCATACATCACACTAAAAGCTCTTAAAATCCTCCTGATTCACCCACTCGCATTTGCATGAAACGGTCAGTCTGAGGGACAAAAACACCTTGCTGGATGGCAAACGACTCATTAGGACAAGAAAAACAAAGAGATTACATTAGAGCGAAACCCCGCCTTACGGCCATCTAGGTAGGCGGTCACCCGTTAATACGGCCAATTTTTTTATGACCCATTGGTGACCGTATAATCCAAATAGCCATTATCTTTTCTTTTTAAGGGTTCCACTGGGTTGTATGTCCTGTAGTCTGCTAAACAGCCGTTTTTAGTGTCGTCACGTGACGCTCCTCCCTTTGTGTGGAGGAGCGTTGCGTGACGACACTAAAAACGGCTGTGTAGCAGACTATATGCCCTCCAGCAAGGTTTTTTTCTACCATGTGACCGTTTCGTGCAAACGGCCCACTAACGTGATTGGTTGAAGATTGCGAAAATGCTCATGCGTGCACGGGATGAGTAAAACTTGGACACAAGTATTTGGCAAATTTACAGTCTAGTCTTTTGCTAATAAGAATGTTAGGTGACAACCCTTTAGCTGATAAAGATGCAACTTTTAATCTTCAGTGATGAGCAAAGGTATCAAAGGTTATAATGGGCTTCGGCTTCCAATAAAAAAAATGTGGTAAAAATTTCTAATATTTATCCGAGAAGGTATTGTTTTCCTGAGTAGAAATTAAAGGGACTTTCTTGAAGAATTTAGAATATGGTAAGTCAACGAAGTACTCGAGGCGAGGAAAGCTTTTAAGACAGCGTTTGTTTGTCAGTCCACCAGTCCAACCGAACCTGGGGTCAATTCTATAAAACTTCGGCAAGTGTAATTTACAAGTGTAAATATTGTTTTGAGACCCTAAAACAATGGCTACACTTGTAAATTACAGTTGTAAAAGTTTTATTAAATTGACCCCTGAGCATTTGTAAAACTTTTACAAGTGTAATATTCAAGTGTTTTTAGAGCCTGGAAACAAAAGCTACCCTTGCAAATTACTTGTAAAACTGTTATTAAGTTGACCCCAGGCATAGCCTGCGTGGCAGGGGCAAAAACGGGAGGGGAAGGGGATATTGATAGAAGCGCGAAAGCTAAAACACACACTCAAACGAAGAATGGGATACCTGTGGCAAACCCCCGAGAGCCATGGGCACTAGAAAGCGATAACCTTAACCTTAACCTGGGGACGAGGTCTGATCGAAATCGAAGGTCAGATTGAAGGTTTTTTGAAGGTGCAATGGTTTCTTTACGCTCATTTGATGATAACTGGCAGACTAAGCGCCCAAATATCAGCGAGAGAACCAAATTTATTTTCAATAACGAATTATTAAGTGATGTGAAGTTTGTAGTTCCTGCGTCGCACAACCAAAGTGAAAGCCAGAAGAGTCGGAAATGCATGATTCCAGCTCACAAGTTTGTACTTGCAATCAGCAGTCCTGTTTTCTATGCCATGTTCTACGGTGAAATGGCAGAGACTGCAGACACTATTCAACTGCCTGACTGTGAGTATAAGAGTCTTTTAGAGTTGTTTCGTTTTCTGTACAGCGATGAAGTGAACTTGAGCGGAAGTTATGTCATGCAAGTTCTCTACTTGGCAAAGAAATATCTGGTACCTTCACTCGCTGATAAGTGCACTGAATATATTCGGGAACATCTAGATGCGTCGAATGTGTTTTCCGTTCTGCCTCAAGCTCTAAAATTTGAGGACAAAGCTTTGGAAAAACGGTGCTGGGAAATTATTGAGATTCACACCGAGAATGCTCTGACGTCGGAAGAATTTGTCACGCTTGAGAGATCTGTTGTTCAGTCTGTTGTGAAAAGAGGGAGATTAAATGTAAAAGAAGTGGATTTATTCAAAGCTGTTGATCGCTGGGCCACCAAAGAAGTTGAAAGACAAGGGGTGACTCCTGTTGGCAAGGTTAAAAGAAGGCTTCTTGGAGAGGAAATTGTAAAAGCAATAAGGTTTCCAGTGATGTCACAGAAGGAGTTTGCTTCATTTGTTCTGGATTGTGACATTCTGACTAAAAAGGAGATTGGTTTCATGATGAAACACTTTGGTAATGTTAGTTTAGAGTCTTCTTTACCGTTCATATCTTCCCCTAGATTAGGGATTCTGCATCGATCTAACAGATTTGCAATGTTGAAACCCCCAGAGGCACATGGTGGTCCCTGGCAGTACTCTGATAGTGTAGCTGACGCCCTTCAGCTAACTGTTAGTAAACCTGTCACTTTGCATGGTATACAGCATTTTGGTTGTAAAGGTGGCAAATATACGGTTTCATTAGAAGTGAAAGATGTGAGAAGTGGTTGTTCTCTGGTAAAACAAACAGGAACATATTCCTCCAAGAAAGATGAGAAAAATGGTTACTATGGATTCGATGTCATGTTTGATCATCCTGTTTCCCTTGAGAGGGGCAAAGCGTATGAGATTGTATCTCTCATCAAGGGTTCATCATCGTGGCGTGTGGCTCAAGGAAAAATTCTTGACAAGGTTCAAGGAATCCAGTTTTCATTTAGCACTTCAGCTGCCTCTAAAAATGGAACTAGTGTAAATGTTGGCCAGTTTCCTTCATTTATTTTCAGCAAAATTTAGTTTAATTCTAAGATGACGATGTTGTTTGATTTCTGAAGTGGTACTCTTCAAATGTTTCATTTAGAGGTAGGGAAAACCTAATCAAACAATTCAGAGTCTTTTTTAAGAAACCTGCTTTCTTTACCAATGCCTAGTTCTTTTTCATTCTCAGGCTACCACCTTTTGTTAGGGGGTTTCCTGGTGGACCAGGATTGAGGATCTCTATCTTTTTTACCCTTTTTTATTTATCTATTGCTTGAGCAGGGAAAGGATAGTGGTTGTATTAATGGGACATAAGGAAAAAACAATAATTAAAGAAAAAGATACACACTCACACAACATGCACTAACTCATGATCAGAAGATGACTAGGCCATGACCATGACTATTATCCATGGCCATGACTCAAGCTTGTCAGTGAAACAGTTTCCGGCAGAAAACACCTTTTGTTGTTAGTAGAGCCATAACCTGAGTTCAAAGATATATTTCTTGTCAGAATAAGTGTGGTTTTACGATTATTAAGAAGCCGAACTTAAACACTTTTCATGACATCTGAAGATATTAGGCTGGCACTGCTGAAGAAAACTCATCTGCAAAGTCTTAAAGAAATATACATGTCTTCGTTCCCCAATTCTTTCTCTGAGGCAAGTTTGTTTTGTAAGTGAAATCTGCCACAGGTAATGTGAAATCTACGAAGCCTTCAATGATCAAGATGGATTCATTGTTTTCTTACAACCGTGTTTTAGTGACTAGGACTGTCATCAAATCAACTGAACATATGCTACAAATTACACAACTTCTCACATGATACATTTTCAACAGGGGGTTAGGGAGAGAGAGGTTTTACAAGATAGAGCAGGAACTCAGAATGGGGTACTGTATACAGTCCCTTAATGTTTATTTGCATATATTTAAAGCTGTTTTTTCTGAAAGGACAACCCTTACTACTAGTTAGCTTTGATCCCCAATTTCCGATCGGTTCCGATCATCGGATTATGCACCCACCCCCGCCCCAAATGAACCAGGGCAAGCCGCTAGAGAGATGCAAGAAATTTATTGCTTAATCAACATCTCCCCCCTAGCCCCCAAAAAAGAAAAGGTTCCTTGATCTCTGATCCTTGATGCTGGTTTTCCAGGAAACTTTGTTGGGGTTATATTAATAGGTTGTGTGTTAGCAACAAGCAAAAGGAAAATAGAGCCTTATTAGATCCTGAGTATAGTAAATTTATTTTGATAGTAAAATGAAAGACTACAGAGTCGTTTCACATGAAAATAGAGACATTTTATGGCACCTCTCTTTTATAGAATCGTTTTTTGTAAAGATACTGTAATCAGTTTTATATCCGGTAAACTTAGAGGCGATTTCAGTTGAAATTTATTGAATAATTGAAAGAATGTAATAAAATGCAAAACCTGATTTGAACCATTACATTTGCAACAGTTGAAAGTACTTGTAGTAACCAAGTTAAACATTGAAAGAGACCATAAACCCTATGGAAAGAGGTTTATCACTGCCTTGCTGACATATAATTAAGTGTAACGGTTGTTATGCACAGTTCACCAGTATATCATGTGTTGAGGGAGTTTTAAGTTCGTATTTGATCCATGTGAACCCATGCATATTATCTTTCCTGGCCCCATTTGGTTTTCCATTTAAGCTATTACGATAGCAAAGTCAGTGAGGATAAATCTTTCCACTGGTACTTCATTCAGCTAATTTTGACCAATCATGACTAGTTACAGACAAAAAAACAAGCAAAAGTTGGAGGGAAATATCCTTCCAATTTTGCTATTTACCTACTGCACTCTTTGCACGTTAAATTTGTACCTTTCTTGACAAGGAAGCCTGCCAAACCATGCGAACGAAAGGCAATAAAGTGGGCACAAAACTGGCTATAAAGAGGAATGCAAATGGAAAAAGAAGAAAGTGACAAAAAAGATCGAAATAGATTCGCAAAAAAAAAAATTAATTAAGTCCAAATTTTGGCTCATGTGCATGCGCAAAATAGGAAAAAGCTGTTAATAATTACATTACATCCAGTTAGCAGAAAAATATGCCCTTAGCGTTGGAAATCTTCGTTTTTAGTCATTTCCATGCTAACTGGCAGAAAAACGGTTCAAAATTAAGGAAGATTTGGTCAAAAATGCGGTTTTCCCTTTTAATTGGCTCACGGCAAAGGTGAAGGCTGTAAGTCAAACAAAGAATGGGTTACCTGTAACAAACCCACAAGGACCCTGGGAAATAGATGCTAGAGAGGGAAAAGAGTGACGTAAGTGCAAGCTACTTTGAAAAGGTACAGTTAGTGAAAGATGTTTCTGGACCTCAGCTTCCTGCTTCCTGTTGTTTGATTATCGTAAGCGGCCGCCTCCTACGACAAGTGACTACTACTGGATATTAAAATCTTCGCAATCTGGGCAGTCGCTCTGATGGGAGGCATGTTTTTGATATCAACAAAAGAACCCTTTGGGGACTAAGAATAGCCCCTCCTTCTGCGATAATTATACAGGAGCACTGGCAGCTGTAGGTGGTGCGTTTGCACTAGCGGATGGAATCATGGGTACATGATCATTGATCATTGAGATCCCTCAAGAGAGATGCACTACATGTAACCGAGTGTTAGCTCTCCTGGGTGTAGAGCAACGTGCATGGCTACTGGAGGCTGTGGAGGTCGATGTATAGACAACAACTGGGAAATGGTAACAGATGACCGAAAATGTTGCTATCATATTTGTGCAAGACTAATAGAAGAATAGAATAAGGAGGTGGGGGAGAACAGGCGGGTGGGAGCCCAGGAGAAAGGGGGGAGAAAAGAGCAGCAAGTGGGAGTTCTAAGAGGGAGGGAACTAGGGAAAAGGGAGAAACGGAGGGAAATAATTAATTAATATGCAAATATAAAAGGGGTGGAAGCCAGAAGTGCAAGGTACAGGAGGAAGAACTTTTGAAACTCCTGTCTCCCCACCTCCTCAAAAGGAGGACCTGAATGGGTTTTTGCAAGAGCCGATTACTTGGTTAATCGGCTCCTGCTTTTTGACGGTTTAGTTTGTTTGGCGATCAGTTTTTTAAATATGCAATGTTTAGAACAGCTAAGGAATTAAATAAGAAATTATTTTCCATTTGTTACAGAAACTTTCAGTATTGTGCTTTTTTTTTCTGGTTTAGCAGTCAAATGGATGTTTTAGGGATAAAGTGCATTAAACTTTGATTGTTACAGGACACAGAATCTGAAGGGGTCTATTTCTTCAGCAAAGAACAGGGAACGAGAGTCGAACCAATCCCGTTAGCTTAGCTGGGACTGTCATGTCGATACGATCTGTAAAAAGGTTAGCGCGGGTATAGGAGCCATCCGGCGGATCCAAAATTTTGTTCTCGTAGCTACTCTGGAAACAGTTAATAAGGGCTTAGTTCAGCCATACTTTGAGTACTGTTCTCCTTTGTGGGACACCTGAGGCAAATTATTGAAAGATAAGCTGCAACGATTTCAGTCACGTGCTGCTAGAGTACTCACAGGTGCCAGTTATGATATTCGCTCCGCAGACTTAATTGACTCTCTTTCTCGGCAAACCCTTGATGATCGACGGCGCTGTGCAAAGTTAATTTTAATGTATAAAATATTAAATGACCATACTATCCCCGGCCTAAGAAACTCTTTTGTGAGAAGGAATGTCGATCAGACTGATAACTATCTACGTAATACGGCTACTGATCTAACACTTCCTAAGCCGAAAAAAGAGTTTCTAACAAAGAAGTTTTAAATTTAGCGGTGCTATGCTTTGAAACCCGCTCCCGAATGAAGCAGGGGCACCCAACGAGGATATAGTTCAAAACCACTTAACATAGCATTGTTGAACGTATTTTTGTATTTAAACGCTAGATATAGGCATATTTTCATTCCCTAAAAACTTTTCATCTGTTCGAATTTCCTAGCTGAAAGTCTAGTGATCCGAAAATTATAGGGATCAAAACTTACCTTTTCGAAAATTTCAGCCAGGAAAAGGCTCTCGAAAATTCTAGGTGGCCTTTTTTAGGATAAATATCCGTTTAAAATGGGTAATTATACCATTTTGTAGATGTTCGAAAATCCTAGGAGAGGCAGGCAAGCAAGAAATTTTACAACAAATGTTCCGAAAATTCCAGTTCTCAAATCGTCTTCCGAACAGATATTTTCCCGAAAATTGCCGTTGGGTGCCCCTGATGAAGCAAAGCTCACTGTGTCAATCTCTTCACATAGCTGGGTCTTGACATGCTGTGTATCTTAATAGTGGTTAACTCAGTTTTTGTATGTCTTATATGAAATTAGCAATAGTAGTAGTAGTAGTACAGGGCTCGAAATTAAAAAAAATGTCTGGTCGCAAATTTGCGACTAGTTTACGAAAATTTGGTCGCAACTTTGAAAATGTTAGTCGCGAAATTAATTGAGGCCATTTAATCAAGAAATAAGTAGGCTTTTAAATGATTAACGCTTTAATTTTCATTCTTTTAACAGCTTTCATGTCATTTCGAGACTTAATAGTACAGAACGTTTAGCATCTCGGACAACACCAGTTCATCTAAACGATCAAGTTGAACCTGCGTTAAGGCACATAAATTAGTGTCTGTTATTTTAGTCAAAGCGATAGATTTCCAAATCATGAACAGATATTACAGCAGGAAACTGCAGTTCTTAAATGCCTCCAATCTCTGCAAAATAGCAATAACATTTGTACTGGGCGGACATCCGACACGGTTATAGGTTACGTTACGTAACTAAATTCCTTTAGTTTTACCTTTTGCAGGTTTTCTACCGATGACAAAACAAGTAACGAATTCTTTTATATATTAAGCTTTACATCTGAAGTATCAGGGGTGTTACTACAGTGATTATTCAAAGAACCCTGAAGGACTGAATCATTCAATACGACGATACGTGCCATGCAGACATTCCGCCATCTTTGTTTGCTAAACCTCGTTTTCATGTATACGTAGATTCGCAACCCACTTGGAACCGATTTATTTTACATGTAACTCTTTTTTTTAAACAAACCGTTACTGTCAAACGAAGAAACAATGAAGCCTTAAGTACTCATTTTTTACCAACGAAAGTTAATGACTCCAGTTTTTCTGCTT